ACCATAGAAGTTTTGAGTCTACAATATAATATACTGTACAGTGTACAAATATTATATATACTCAATATGCTATTAGTCACAACTCACACCACGTTACCTCATTAGTTATTTTATTACAAAACGTAAATCGTCATACCGTTATGCCGTTTGTCGTCGGTTATTTATAGTAATAATTTATTACTAATAAACGTTTAAACACATTTTTCATGACGTTCATTAATTATCGGATACAACACTTTTTATATTACCTATATACATTTTAAATTGATCGCTTTCAGTATGTTAAAAAAAAATATATAGGTACATTTGGTTATGTTGTATAGCAAACGAATTAACAGTTCGAATAACACGGTATTTATTTTTTGGTTTGTTTGAGGGTCGAGGATTTATGTATTTACATTTTTTATGGATATAATATCATATTTGTATAGAACAACGATGGAAAATCAATAATCGCGTTGTCTAGAAAAGTTAATTGTGCCGTGAGAAAAACTGCAGCAGGTGTTATTATTTTCGTTCGCTAACTGCTAAGCTTATTCATTTACCCTACTCGTTTACTCGAGTCGCTCGACGCCATAATATAATTATTATTATATTATTTTCTACGTCTATTTGAACATTCAGACACACACATACGCATAATACATATATATGTGTAAGTATATTATACATACCGCGATCGGCTTCTTTCTTTTTTAATATCATTTTTTTTTTTTGTCGACTATATATCGTTATTTTTTTTTTTTTTTATCATAATTTATTCTGTCATTGTTATTAACGAAATTATCCGGACGATTTGATAATAGACTCTGGGTGCTCGCGCAACCAAGTCGCTCAACAAACCTCATTTAATGAACCCCAAGTTCATTGTTGTTGTGTGTGTGTGTATATACCTACCGTAAATGCGACCGTCGTCGTACAGTCGTCGTCGCCTAATCATCGCCTACCGGATCGGCGGCATACATTGTGTGCTGTGTGTTATTAATGATCACGACCGCAGCCGTCACCACCTCCTACGCCATCCATGGTAAACATTCGTTTTGTGAGCCCTTAAAACGCGTTTACGCGCGCCGGTCGAGTGTGAGCTATACAAGTGCGGGCAACAGAGTACTAAATAAAATAAAAAAATGTAACAATAAAAAAAATAAAGGTTAATTGCGAAAAAAAAACGACGAAACACAATAACGCGACTGGATTGGTAGTGAAAATGAGGCAATTTAAATAGCTAAAATGAGTGTAAAGTTCACGCTTTGTACATGACTATCGGCGAGTAGACCATATCGAACGCGTGGGAAAGTCTTTGTACCTATCAGCTATTGTTGAAATAGCAAAAAGTGAATAGTAGGCATTAATGTCGTGTATACGCTAAAACGCTTTTACACACAGCTCATCAGCTAACGCGAGAATATTTGCTCTAGAAATATCATCTGCAGCCGCAGGGCAAATCACGTTAGCTTAAAAATGTAGTATTTTTCGTTACAAGTTTGTTCTGTACAAATAAATACATAGCAATGACAGGATTAAATAAAAATATAATTAGGACTTCTCATGTTTTACTCGTGCAGCGTGCCCATATAATAGTATAATAAAGGCTCCATTCGTGGTATACGTAGAGCTAGAAGGAATCTAGCACATCATAACTGACAATTTGCAAATAAAAAATTTGTCAACTTGCGCTCTATTTATTATGATGTGTCTTAATGATTACAAACTGCATTTCCTCTAAGGAGAAATCAGTAAAATCAATAAGACGGAAAAATATTTTTTTAAGGTGCATATAGGTATATTATGCTGTTAGACGAATACCCCAGACGAAATATTTGTTTACATAGCGAAAAATAATTATTGCAATACTGTCAAAGTGCTATATTATATTATTACAATGACTTAATAGTGTTAAAATATCATAATATAAAGTTGAGTATTATATAAATTACAGTGTTGTGGTTAAAACCAAATACCTACACAATATATGGGTAAAAAACAATAATACTAATAATAGAGGTTACCAAATAACAGAAACGACGCGACGGGAACGGGAACTAGAAGGGAGGATGCTGTCGTCGTTAATTAATCTCCGACGGATGACGGATTATTTTAGGTTGACTTAATGAATTCCAAAATCGCCTCTGGTTTAGCACGGAAAAGCGGGCTAATGAAAGCACTTAGGGGCTCCACAGTCAACCCTTTCATACAATAATTATCGCAAAAACCACGGCATCGCGTTATACCTATATACCATAGCAACTATACAAGCATCCGCGTGACACCTTTTAAGCAATTTACAGTATCATAATATAGGTATTTATATATATATATATATATGTATGATTATACATGTATAATACCCATCAAGGTCCAATAGCAATCGATAGAAAGGTCCGAGGCCACGCCTACTCGCAGACCAATCCCGTCGGGTGTGCCCGCGATGACGGTTAGCCGTGCATAAAGCGCTCTTAAATAATTAAGTCGGATCGTGGAAAATAATGCGAAAGAGATGTTTTCCCAGGCGCCGCTTGGAGGGTACGGGGGAAAAAAGGGTTAAAGCTCGAGTGTATAGGCGCACGGGGAGACCATTAATCATAAAATGTTTTTGGTGCGTAACGCGGAAAACACAATAAGGGGAAATTCGTGTCGATCCCAATAAGGCAGTCCTTGTTTATTATATCCGAAAACACTCCCGTTTTTATTTTCGCATTAATATACTATTATGATGATGGTGATTATTATTATAAACCCGAAAACTGAGGGGTCGAGAAAAGTGGTCGTTGAAAAATTGTAATATGTGTATTGTTTACGGGTAATGACGCCATCATTTTAATAATATACAGCGCAGTGCGTTGTGGATATTACGCTGTTTGAGGTGGAAAATATTGTTACACGTCCCATCGCTTTATTAACACTGCTCGTCAACATATTAATTAACTCGCCCGAATATAATATTATATATGTGTGTATTTTTGCTCCATAAAATGTCACCGTGCCTAGACGTCTACGATTGTAATTTGTTTGTGTTTTATACTCAGAACTCAAAAGTACATACAAAATATGTTTATATTCGTTTTTGAGCTACCCCAAAAGATTACTGTAATCTATTCTTTATTTATATATTTATTCTGTGCGTGTGTAAGTATGCAAACTCCTTCTAAACGGCTAGACAGATTTTTATGAAATTTTGTGTGCGCGATTAAGTTAATTTGAGAAAGGTTTAGATTCACAATTTGATCTGATAGAACATGTTTTTAATTTTTAATTAAATAAAATGATTAATTATGATTGTCAATAGTATCAATAGTTATCAATACAGCTCTATGGTTTTCCATACCACAGGGATACAGTGATTCGATCAGCTGATTGTGTGTCTATTCTAATACACGGGCAACGCCGGGTCGGGACAGCTTAAAGTACATACAAAATAGGTTTGTATTCGTTTTTGTGCTACCCCGAAAGATTACTATAATCTATCTATATATATATATATATATAACAATTTTGTAAATTTTTCAAGTAAAGAATAGTTATTTATAAAAAAAACAATCATACTTAAAACTCAAAAATATGTTAAAGGGTAATGAATAAAATACAAATCAAATTATAAAGTTCAATTTTTATACTTTGGCACTTGGAACGTTTGACACTTTCACTCTTCATATATAAAAATGAATGTATGTGTGTATGTCCTTTATGCATTAGTACACCATTCATCCGATCGCCATGAAACTTTGGGAAGTTGTTGAGTACACTCCTGCGAAGATAACTGGCATAGTACTTTTCGAAAATTCCACCCCTAAGGATGGCCTCAAACACGAATTTTGTACTTTAAATACGACATTATTTTCGTTGCTAACCCAAAATAAACACTTGGTTTGTAACCACGGTACTTGAGTGAATGATAATTAATTTTATGTTATGCCCCCTAAACCTCAATCGATTAGTCGATCTAAATCTCAAGCACGAAAGAAAAAGACATTACGAGCTTCAGAAACGACACTTCTGTGTACCACGATTCTGGGGACGCTTTTCACAATAGGAACTAGATCTTTGACTGGGACCCTTGAGTAAGAGGGGGACATAATCAATACAATGTAATATACATATGTAGATCCAAAAAAAAAACCGAGACGAGGTATGGCTTATGACGGGGTATGCTAAGAATTTACATTATACAACCTGGAGAACTGACTTTTTTTTATCTTATTTGTAGTTATTTTACTCAGCCCTACAGAGTGACAATCGAGTGATGTATCATATAAATAGAGGTTTCTGAGGAAAAGAAATCTCATGCTGCATTTAGTTTTGTATTTAATTTATTTTAAATGCGTTTTTTTTTATACTTTAATTATTATGAAGTTTTTTCATGTCACTTGCATCGCGTTAGTATTCATGGTCACAAAATATTTTTTAACAAAAGCGTATTTAATGTCAACTGCGTTATATATTAGAAATGTATAATAGAAGAATAATATTTTTGGACTATTAAGTCACAGTTATTTATTACTAGTATACATCAATCAAATGAATGTACATGAGAGCAATTTAACAAATATCAAGCTAAAAAATGAATGCAAGTATGTATAAATGGCCACACAAATGTTTAAAATTAAAGTTTTATTTTAACAGATAATTATCCTAACCAATAAAAATGTGTCAAAGAGGTGAAAATAAAAAAAATAAATTTATTTGATTTGTAATATCGAAAACAATGGAAGCGATACTATTAGCTTACAACACACCGTACCTATTTTTGTTTAAGATCGTATGATATAAATCATTATTGACGTTACAGTAATAAATATTGCAAAAACAAATTTTAGAGGCCAATTCGCTCGTAATGATTTATTATCCTGATATGTCAGTCGGTTTGATTAGGTATATCCCACGCACTCCGCTAAAACAAAACATTTGGGTAAACATCACAAGATTTCAGTGTAAATACTATTGGACTAGTATAAATAGCCAAGTCAAGCTAGCAAAGTCACTTATTTTTCGTTACATTTCGACTAATATTATTTGGTATTTTGTTCACTTGTCGTGTACTTTGTTTTTAATTCGCCTTAAGCAAATTGAATTATGTCTCCGGCTTGGTTTTTAGTAGGAGTGGTGTTTTTCTATCTTCAAGTCGTTGGTGGTGCTGCAAGATCACAGACGTATAATGAAGACTTTTACTATTGTCCGAGTGAATTTAATGTGGAATCGTCAATAGCTTATTCTGGAATAGAATGTCAAGGTGATTCAGATTGTGAGGAAAATCAAATGTGTTGTACCGTAATCGTAGTAGATAATGCTATTTCTAATACAGAAGTTGGACATTACAGCCATTGTACCACACCTCAATTACAAGTAACGAAAAATATTTTTGTGTAGTAATAATCACAAATAATAATTTATGCATTATTAATTTTTTATTAAAATATAATTAACAAACAATTGAAAGCAGTTATAATATTAGAAGAATCCATGATTCACGATCAGAATCCACGGTGATACATTTTCTTAGCATTTTATCATTTACTTGAAATGTTAAAAATGTATACATTTTGATCATCTAATCATTTATTTTGACAGTAGATATATAAATTATGAAAATGATGTTAAACAGTTAATTAAATTAATTACCAGAAAAACGAAATTTTATGGTAAATTTTAAGGAAATTCGACAAAATCCGTTTTTAACTTTTAACAAAATTTGTTTGTGTAGTTTTCGTACAACTTTGATATACTAAAAGGGCAAACTAAAAAGGTCTAAATAATTTAGTTGCTTGTATAATATATTCAAATAAGCGTGCCAGATAATCTTTATACTTACCTTTTAATTAATTTCTAACAATTATAAATATCCCAAAATAATAAACGACAATAATATTATTGTTATTTATTATATATACCAGCAAGCTACCTATGTATAGTTCTAATTGTGACATACAATTATTTGATGTTCCAATCTTGAATTTTGCAGTAAAATCTATGAAAACTGAAAATCAATATTTAATTAAGTATTTTAATGGTATACAAATTTCTATTAGTTTCTATTAGTTAAAAAAGAAACAAAATTGCACACATTTAATTGTACTAAACTGAATCCTTCTAATATGCATTTCAAAATCATAATTATTCATCTGTGTGATATGTTTTATAATTGAAACATAAAACAATTTTTTTACAGACCGGTTATGGATTTTGTCCTAAATTCACAATCCAAAACACTGGATTCTCAAGCCAAAATAGTTGTAATACTAAAAAAGACTGTGATAATGGAGATCTTTGTTGTTTAGATGGAAATGGAATTGGAACCAAAAGTTGTACGACTCCTCAGGTTAGTGCTTTTTTAAACATGTTGTTTGTCTATTTACTTCATTATTTTAGCGTAACGTGCAATAACGGTAATTAGTACAGTTCAAGTTAATTGCTAGTTGTGATAAAAATACAACTAATAATTAATAATTAATAACATATTGATAGGGTAAAAATAAACACATTAGTTTAAGTAGGTGCTTCATTAATGTTTATACTAATTGATGCTACATTTACGATGAACAATATTTTTTCACTATCAAATTAATTAAATCCGAATACTTTAAGATGATTAGCTAATAATAATAATACACACAAGCCATACGGTTAATTGGTTGATAATATAATTGTAATTCTGAGCATGATTCCTTTAAAAACGTACTATGACTGAAGTTCAGGACTATCAATTTTATTTCTCAATAGCTTATACAAAAAACAGACAAAGTTAAATTGTCTACTTAATTGTAAATATAGTAATACTCACAATAATAACAATATTTTTCTGAGCATATTCGCTCAGAATGATATTACATAAAACTCGCTATATTTTGAGATCTTTAGCAACCAACAAATAACGGGAGTTTTAAGTAAATAATCTAAAAAAAAAACCATTTTTTTTCTCTTTTATTATTTTTATTACACAATCTATACAATTTGTATGTACAATAGGCGTAAATGATAAAATAGACATAATATAATTTTTCACTTAAACAAAGACATTAACGGTAATAAATGGCCTCCTTGTGAAACGTTTGAAGTTATGTTTATTCCTTTTGAGACTATACCATACATTTACCATACTGGATTCTATTAACTAAATATGAGCTTATCCAGCTCACGAGGAGCTAACCTAAACTAAAATTACAATGATAATGCAATAGGTACAGTTTCAATGTTAACTATATAACTTTTTTTTTTAATTTCTGCTAAAACACATTAATTTGACTGCATGTTTGGACTTCGTTTCAGATAACAATAATAACTTAGTAAATTGTTTGATGTAGAATTTTTGTTTCCATGCAAAAACCATGTTGTTTATCTATTATAAGTTGGTTTCACGTCAAGGAGAGAATAATTATACTTAACATAAAAAAATAATACGCAAAATTATAGTTAATAAAAGTTTGAACTCAAAAAAACAAATTGCATTTGTCTATATTAATATAATAATATGGTAGCAGTGCTTTACAAAAAAAATCGTCAATGAAAACTCATTAGAGACGTTAACAGGCATAAAATAAACTTAATTTAAGTCACTTTAATACATTAATATATTTTTTGTTCAGATTTGTTGTTACTATTTTTGTTAAATAAAGTAAATTATTGTATTATTTCTATTAGTCTAAACCGCCAATAAAATATAATGGAGAAACATGTTCGGGCGTTACAATTAAAGCAGGACTGTTCACTGGATGTACCACCGACTTCGGTTGTACTGATAAACTAATATGTTGCGGATTTGAATGTAATGACCCTAATTTCTCTAATGATGATAATAAATCATCATCATCATCATCATCATCATCAGATGATGATGATTAGTTTTTGAACTATACTATAGTACAAAATTATAAAAAGGAAAATCAAGTTACATATTTTAAAGAACGTGAATGCATGTTAAAATACATATTATAATAAACATTTTTGTTTTTGAGTGTATTGTTTTTTTCAAAATAAATAATTATCTATATTAAAGCATAAATCTTAGTATTTGTATTCCTTACGTTTTAATCCTATTACAATCGTCTGTTGATTGTAATATTGTTATTTAATAAATAACTGATTACACTCGACAGGAATTATATCGCATTTCCTATAAAACCGGGAGTTTGAAAAAAAAATTAATTGGACAAAATTTACCATACAAAGTATCAGTAGATTAAAGAAGTTGTAAAGCTTGCACTTTTCAATTATATATTGGTGGTGTAATTTTACGAATACTAGTAAAAATGTTTAAAGATATTTTAACTCGGTAGGCTAGTGTGAAAGTTAACAAAGAGCTGCTGTTGTCGACCCGATAACGTTAAATTCCATCAACAGGAAATAGGGATATCCACCTAATTCGCGTGTAGCCGAAGAAGGCAACTCGGTGGTGGAACGTGATACTTTGGGTCCAAACTGTATTCCATCTGTATAATAATGTACAGTACCTTGGTGTATTACATTATAAATGCGCGGAGGCGCGCAGTCTGTTTTGCAACTTCTCGGCACCGCTCTCGCGATACAGTGATAATAATAATAATAATAATAATCACCATCTGAGACGATACACTAATAAAGCTTAATTAGACTCGGCACCGTCTCGAATTGCGGGGCTCAGTGTAACTTTGCCGTACTCAAGTTAATTAGTGACAATCAGTGCCTGTCATCGACAAAACGAGCAATCGGTTGGTATAACCGCGCAAAAGAGCGTTTTAATTACACACACAGCCGTGTACTGATTAAACAAACTATGTTAAGTCGGTACGCGTTCGGAAAACTCTGATCAAACAAAAACAGCAGCAGGGTAGACCGAAACCGTGTGGTGCTTTTCCGCAAAACTAATATGTACATTGTAATATTATTTATGCACACCGAAAAGATGTTATTTTACTGTTCAATTCCACGAAATACGTGTTGACCTATAGGTAGTGTACATAATTAGTTATTAAAAATATCAATAAGCTTAAATATTCATAAACAAGCCAGCACACTGGTGTCAGTAATTTTTGTAATAATTAACTACTATAATAATATAAACATTAACTACTAAATATCTAAATGTAAACGTCCGTTAAGTCCTGTCGCTGGATTATTGCTGTTGTAAGTCCTTAAACTATCAACGAAATAACGTGAACGTTCCTAGAAGTAAAAACGTACTAAGATTAACAAAACATTACATAATATTGATTTATTAGATTTTTTGACAATATTCGGATCTAGATCTTCTAAATATGTTTAATCTTCCAGTTAATAGAAGTGTAAAACGTCTAAATTATAATCTACCCAGAGGGGAAGGGGGTGCTCAAAAATTCGTTCGTATTTGGTATTTTGACACAGGGGGAGAGAGAGAAGGTAAATACAATACCGGGAATAATAATAAAATCAAACATTTATCTAAATGGCGGTCAAATAAATCCACTTACGGGTAAACCAATTTACTAATGTTTTACTTTTTTTTTTTTTATTTAATAGAATTGGCTTTGTCGATCTAATTTCTTTCCTCTCATTTAGGCAGGTATCTTTTCGCGACCTTTTGGCAAAAACGATCTCACTGTGTGGTCGGCGTACAGCAGGTACATACCCGAGCTAGAGCGGCAATGTCCAAGATCCATACACGCCCATCGCGGTGTGTATATTACATGTCGGCTTGCACAATAAATAATAATAACTATAAGACAAAACACTTCCTCTTCACGCGATTAACCAACTGCGCCGCCGAAGACCGTTCGCTCTAATTTTTTTTTTACGTAGATACACGAAACTGGGATAAAAAAAATAATACATTTTCGAAGATTATCGATTTTGGCGGTTCTTTTGTCCACACACACTGGCGCCCACCTTTTAATAATTTGTGTTTACACTTCTGTACCGCCACCGCCGCCGCCGTAGCCACCGTCTCGACCGTCAAATTACAGAACGATAAAATAACATTTGTTCCGGTTTATTATTAGTGTTTCACAGACTGTTATTAGGTACTGTGTAGTGTGTGCACATTAAATACATTATATCTATACCTAAAAGCATTGTGTTTGATTACCCATCACGGCCTTTACGCGCAACAAAGGCACAAGGAAAAAAACCCCGTCAAATAGAATTCAACACTTGTAGGTACAGTTAAACAGTTGTACAATATAAGAAGCTAAAAAATAAATAATAGCAATACACCCAAACCAGACTTCACGAGACCTACATACAACGACTATAGACGTTTACATTATTATTTTTTTTTTTTTACAATAATCTACGATCTGAATAACGAATTTACACAGTAATATATTATTTCTGAAGGTGGCTTCGCCGGATATCAACCCTTAACTGCAAAATATTTATTTGTTAAAATGGTACGATAGATTTATAAAGTAAAACTGAATAGTTTTTATAATAATTTGCATATTTTATTTACGACCACCGTATAAAAAGTAAACCCATATTATTCAAGAAGAAATATCTATTGATTAATTATCTATTGAGCACATAAACCGTAGTTTTCGCTATAGAATCATCGCAAGACTTAACGTGTAAATTAGTGGTAAAATCAATTAGCTTTTACAGATACTCTCAGTAAAAAATATCATGATTAACTCAGTTTTAACTTGTAACTCATAATTAATACTGAGTTACATAAACAAAATTCAACGGCATATTAAAATTAAATAAACAGCAGTTACGATTAGTTTAAAAAAAAATAATTTATTTAGAAACGATAAGCGAATTATTATGCTTATTTAATGAATAAGAAAATTGCTTAAATTCGGTGTTTATAGGTTCTCAAATGATTAACCCGAGGGGAAGTAATGCCTCACCAGGCAGGTCCCCCCCCCGGGTCTCCATGGACATATAGGAAAAAAAAAAGTTCTCAAATTATTATATAGTTTATACTTTGCAACATTAAAGACCCTGTAAAAAAACTAATTTTGTAGTTATAAATAATTATCGACAGGTAACCCCGTGGTTAAGAGATTAGAATAAAGACAAATATTGAGGAAAAAAGTACTAATTTTATTTTTTGGCTGTTTTGAGCTATCTACTGTTTCATTGATTATTTTTCCTAACACAGCTATTAGAACAACGCAATATTATGTACTATGTGTAGTAAAATATAATTTTTTTTATTACACTAGACCTATAGTTACTCTGATATTATAAAAAAAAAACTATCATACCATAGCCATAAAACATATTATATTGAACCGTTATGGGTATGAACATATTAAACAGCTTACACAGGCCGCGTAGTGGATATACTTGCATTATATATGTATTAACTAATATGTAATGACTATCACAATAGTGATTGTGGAAAACCGCAGCAGGGTTCGACGGTACCGCTCGAATCGCGTATCTGATTACACGCGAGTCAGCTTGGTAGTCATTTTGTGTGTAAACAAAAATTAAAGAACCGAAAAATATCAATAGGAATAGAGGCTTACCACATCATCTCGGTGGAACTGCTACCGCCTACCTAAGCTTGTAATATCCTATATCCGATGTACGGTGAGATTTCTTCGACCAATTGAATGTAAACACTACAGGCATTCGAGCCAAAGTGACCGATGCAGGAGGTGCAGACGATGAAACCACAGTGTTAACCGCTGGCTCGCCCATTATTTTGTGTACTTGTATTAAAAAAGTATTAAATTATTATTGTACAGAATTCCGGTCAAACTTCGGGGTCTTGGGAAAATCTTTAATGCGCGTACAAAGACTTCATGGCGACCGACCAATGATTTGGATCATTTCAACAGGAAGAATAACCGCAAGCGATCATATTCACTTTTCCATTCGAACTCATAGACTTGAGTATAGGGTTTCCATTAAGGACCACAAAAACATTATACATCTAATGGGTTCACTTTTTCAAAAATTTTGAAAATAGCGTTAAAAAATGTCTTAAAGATCCATGGATTATTAAGGGGCCATATAGTCTATTACATTTAATATTTAACGTTTTCGATGTCTGTAAAAGAACAATATTTTACAAGGCGTATCAATTTTTAAATTTTGTTTACTATAATAATTATATTCCAAAAATGCAATAGAAATAACCAGTTGAATACTACGTTTTTAAAGCACAATTATAATCAAAACAAAAACCCTCCACTTTATTTCGTGCAAAACAAGCATAATAATTAGCACTATAAAGTTTTGATAGCATATTTTATTGTACACATTTAATATAGTAAAATATGATATATTAATTTATAATTTTTAAAAGTATATATTACACTTTTACTCAGCAGTGTATAGAGTTAATATTTGAAAAATAGGTATTATGGAAATATTTTAAGTATATTTTTAATTGGCCATAAGAGATTAGAACATTACATTATCATGTTTACTATAATTATGAAATACAAATTTTGCATTTGTGCTGCATATGTGTATAGAATAATTATTTGAGCTCCCATATTTGATAAATTACTCATCGTATATCAACTTTTAATCAGCCCAGTATAGTAATACTATACTATGTAATATCTCGTATAGAGATAAAATACTTCCCGAGTATAAATGTTAAATGACATGTAAAAACTTGTTCTCTAAATTGACAAATTCTATATGAATATTTTGTTTATTTATTATTATAACAGTTTGTAATAAATTAAGAAATTTATAATCCATGTAACATATTCCGTTATAATTTATAAACAATAGCTATTGTTACTTGTTACTCTTCATATAAGAGGGGATTTGTGTACAAATCAACTATTAATCAGTTTTTCAAGTGTAGTATAATACTGTACTATAATGTATTAAAAAAGAAATAAGAGATTATTTCCTGCAAAGTTAACAAAACGCACCTGGTGTGTACTGTGTAGTTTGTATTGGTAAAAAATATTCAGGAAGTAACAAAAAAAAAAAACAATACTTCAAAACAAAACGTCATCGCCTTTCCATGGCGCGGGAG